TCGTCTGACGTAGCGTGGTGACCAAGCGGCCTTCCACTAGCTTCAGCTCTCCCGCCGGATAGCTTGGAGGTCAGACCATCTTAGCGACGCCCAGACCTTGACCAACTTGGCCCAGGCGTAGACTCTCATGACGACCCTCTCGATGACCACCAACACCATGACGGGATAGCGGGGTGCCCGTCTTATCAAGGGCGCCCCTTCATGAAGTGCTTCCACAATTTTATCGTTGGCTGCCCAGGCCAGACGACGATTCGTAGCACGAAGCTCCACCTTGAACTCCGCTACCCTCTCTATACAGGAGATGGATTTTAGCAGGCCCTCTGGCACCGAGCGTGCACACGGCTCATCCCGTAGCACCAGCACATAGTCCACCAAGTCTGTTGGCCTTCCCGGAGGGTCCATGTTTGGCCTCCTGAAGCCATAGCCGCCACCTCTTGTACATGGTGACGTAGCGGTTCAGAGTTGAAGACCGGGTCTTCCCGGGTAGCAGCTCACACGCCCTATCAAAATCCAGGCAGTCCCCAATCGACTTAACGACTGGGGCCCCTATGGCTTCTAACTCCTCTGCTAGCTGGTGCGTCCACAGCACCTGCAGCCGGAGCTCCCTAGCGGCTCTCTCCTCGCCATTGGCCAGGAGTTTCCTAGCCTTCTCGCCAGGAGGAGGTCTTGCCTGCGTCAGCTCTTGTAGCGGCTCAGCCTCGAGCCAAGGCCTCGCAGGCGCACTGGAATGCCCAAGCCAGGTCGTTAGCGAGCACTCCTCGAGTCCGAAGGAGCAATCTCTCTTCTTCCTTAGCGGCGGTGATCATATCCGCCACGGCCTTAGCAAGTTCCTCCAAGTGAGGTGCGTTCAGCTCAAAGGCTATCCGTCCAGCAATGGCCACGCTATCGGCCACCTCCAAGGTTGCCATTTCTCGGGGACCAAACCCTTGGGTTCTCAGGTACCCGGCTATGTCAGGCAGTGGAGCGGCCATTGCACCTAGCGCAGGGTTCCCCTGCGTTTCCTTTCTAACACCTGCACTCAAAACTTGCCCCCCTTTATCAAGGGGTCTTTATCCGAAACGGCAACGGTATCAACCATGCGTTTCAAGACATGTTCATAACAAGAATAGCGGAACTACAGTTCTTACAAAAACACCTTCAATGTTTTTGTTACAAAGCGGGAAAAACTCTAGCACACATTATCGTATCTCGTCCCTCGTTACGAGTACGATCCGCACAGCCTCCCCCTAGTGCAAACATGGTGATGACATTATTTTTCTTCTCAGAAGCATGGATGGCCTTAAAAAGCTGGATGGCTCCAAAAAGCGGGGGGTGGGGGGAGGGGGGGGGGCGCAGCCCCTCGTTTGCAAACAACATGATCCGCACAACCTACCCTTACTGCAAACATGGCGACGACTGGATGCTTTTTATACAAGATCCTCGTGTATTAGTCAACGTGGACAGTCACTGGCACCGTAATTGACAGCATTTTGGCTGCTGATAGGTTGAACAGCTTTGGGAGTTCATCTAGAGCTTGCAGATACTGTAAATCAGAGCATTGGGAGCTCATCTAGAGAATCTGGAGCTTGTAGTTGAAGCTCTTCAGAGCTTGTAAACACTGTAAGTCACAGCACGCCAATTCTGATTTTTTGAGTTTGCCACGCATGCTGTAAATTACAGCGTTGGGAGCCTTGCAAAGAACGTAGACACTGCGAGTTGCAAGAGAGATGTTAACTTCCGCAGCCGGATGGCGCAAACAAAATTATCCGCATCGCCTTCCCCGACTGCAAACATGGTGATGACGCGACACGCGTCAGTTCTTGCAAGCATGGATGGTCTCAAAAAAGCAGGTGGGTTGGGGGGGCGGCAGCCCCCCAATTTGCAAACAAAATGATCCGCACAGCCTCCCCCTAGTGCAAACATGGTGATGATATGTTTTTATTCATCGGAAACATGATGGCTTAAAAAAGCTGGATGGCTTCAAAAAAACAGGGGGCTTGGGGGGGGAGGGGGGGCGCAGCTGCCCCCATTTGCAAACAACATGATCCGCACAACCTTTCCTTACAGCAAACATGGCAACGACTGGATGTTTTTAGTCCACGTATGGCCTTCAAAAGACCTCGGGGTCGGGGGGCACGCATGGCGATCATTGTTTTACAGTCAGCTTGGCTGGCCTTAAAAGAGCGGGGGGTTGGGGGGGGGCAACCCCCTCGCATCTGCAAACAAAATGATCCACACGGCGACGACCTGATGCTTATTTTTAGTGACTTAAAAAAAGCGGGGGGCATGGGTGGGGCCGCACCCCCTCCATTTGCAAACAAAATGATCCGTACAGCCTTTCCCTAATGCATAAACATGGTGATGACATGTTTTTCACCCTAGGCAGGAATGGCTTTAAAAAGGCGGGGGTTTGGGCGGGGCTGCGTGCCGTTATAGCCATCTAAGTATCCTTACCTGCAGGGTCCCTAAGGGTATCCTGTTTGGGAAATACCAATCAGTCCTTCCTTCCTTCCTTTCTTCGTTTCTTCCTTCCTTTCTCATTTCCTTCTTTCTTTTCTTTGTTCCTTCCTTCCTTCCTTCCCTCCCTCTTGCTCGCTGTGTCTATATTGCAAGCGGAAAGGTTTTTCTTGATCCGCAAAGAGTTTTGTTCATCTTCCTTCTTTCCTTCCCACGCTCTTGCCTTTTACGAAAAAGCCGAAAAGCCGCGAAACCAGGGGCCTACGTGAAAAGAAGAATTTTCCCAGAAGCCAGGCAGCCAAAAAGCCAGGAAAGCCCAAAAGCCAATAAGCCATTGGCCTGCGGCTCATTTTTTTTGATGCTTGTCAACTTACTTTTCATGCTTGTCAAATTCTTTTTTGATGCCTTATCAATAATGTGTTTGATGCTTATGAACTGCGAGTTGGGGCAAACCCAGCGAACTAGGCTCGCTGCAACGTGCCAGTGTCCAAAAGAGCAGATACTCAGCAAGGGATGGCACAAACACACACACACACACACAATGATGGCACAGCAGCAACTCAGCAACTTCAGCTGGACAAGCGGAACGCCCCATTGCACATAAAGCGCCGACTGCACACAGCGACAGTTCGCGGCTGCAGCCCGACGACACCCCGGAGATGCGGCAGATCAGCGCCGAAGCACTTTCTGCAGCAGTCCAGCTTGCAAGCCCGGCCCTGGGTTGCCTGTGGAGGGGGCCGCAGGTTTGAGCTCGCCACTGACGATCAGCCCAGCTTTATGAGCCGGGACCGCGTGCAGCCGAAGCAAGCATGCGTAATCGTCCAAGAAACAAAACGTCCGAGAAATACTGCATGTGAAACATGCCCCAAAAATCGCCGAAACATGTCACTAAGCGCACTCCTCTCAACTTGTCCGCACGGGTCCAGTGAGCAAGCTTGGAGCAAGTCCAAGCCGATGGCCGTAAAGCCTCGGCTCACGGTAACCGGCGGCGTCAGCCAAGAGATCGCTGAGCAATGGGCCTCTCCTTCAAGGTTGGATGAGCCCGGGACGTGGAGTGCGAGAAGGCTGGCAGGGCAAAGTGCGCTGAGGCACATGCAAGGAGCGCAGACGACCGGAGTGCGGACGCCGAGGCTGTTACGGCGTGTGAGGCAGGTAGAACCGCTCGAAGTCCGGCAGCGGGCGAGTGGACCAACGGGACAGATGTCGCTTACGTTTTGTGAATTTGGTGACGATAGCAACGTAGCGGCGAAAGTTTCGGATGCTTACAATTTACAAGCTGTGCAGGATTTTTCGTCAGACCATGCCAACCTGTCCTGTTTCGCCCTGTCACGTCTGGGAACTGCGTGTCCGGGCCAGTGTACGCCGGAGCCTTGCGCTGTTGCTGAGCAAACCTCTGACTCGACAGGAACTGCCGCCGCATTCCGCTTGTCCATTATTCAGGCATTCCCTCACCTCGAACACGCCAATGCGCCCTTCTCCACATGAAACAGAGCACGCTGCGCTGGCGCCTCGCAGCAACTCTTCGCTCTGCCTCAAATGCACCAACAGGTGGATACGCCGTTCCACCACCCCAAGTAGGCCAAGCCCCTACATGTAAATTTCGAAAAATATGCCACAGACACTATGCCGTCCACGTGGATAGAGATGCGACGTAAAAAAAGCAAGCTCCTGCCAGGCCAGTTTCTTCCGCTGGATACTCTTGCCGGCTGCGGACCAGCACATCAGCATACAAGCACAATACCAAGTTCTTTGCAGGACATCTGTCCCAAACAAGTTGCTTTCACCTCATCTCTCTCCCTCTCCTCCTCCTCCTCCTCCTCCTCCTCCTCGTTCTTCTTCTTACGCGGGCTATGCTCTCTTTCTATCTCCTTCTCCATCGCTTCTTCGTCTTTTTCTTCTTCGCACCCCAGTGCAGCACGCCGAGTCTGCCAAGGTTCCGTCCCGTGCCGATGGTCCGTCCAGCGAGGACCCTTTGTCTCTCTCGCCAACATATCCGACACAAGCTTTTGGAAAGTACGTCCGCGTTTAAAGAAAATGCGTTGAAGCTAGGGCTCAGCCAGCTCCTGTTGATGGCTCCAGGTGTAACAAGGAGGTCACAGAATTCAGACGAGTCAGGGAAACCTGATGTTGCAATTGGCAGCCTGTTTTCGGGGTGAGGCTATGCCAAGCTGCCTGGACCTGCGACTCAGGCTCTGCTGTTGTGTTAGTGCAGCTTTCCAGTTTGCTGAACGCAGCCAACTGCTGCAGAAGGCGAATAGACACAGTTGCACGCCAGTCAGCAAGTTCAGCTGAAAGTTTGCTGCCTGCATGGCTCCCCACCGCCGATCAGGCGGGGGGTGATTGGCGGTCATGAGCAGCGAGCACCAATATCATCTAAAGGAAGGCTAAACCCCAAGCATTCCCAAGCCACATGTGGGTCCATAACCCTTGCGGCCCTTGCGGCCTGGCTGGTCGCTGCGATGGAAAAGTAGGCCTTGCCATCTATGCCGATTTATACAATGCCTCTTTAATAGAACAGTGGGGAGATTGTGGCCTCAACCAGCTCTGCCAGGAAGTCGGGAGATTTAGTTGTACCACTGAACCTCGGCACGAAGCTTTGTCCAACTACACCTGGCATCAGATTCAGGGGGCCCTACAGTTTCAGCTCCGACACGCTCGCGGCCGTGGGTGGAAAAGGTTGCAAACTCCGCAAGCGTCTCTCCGGACCTTGAATCCCGTGGCAGCACCATCAGGAAAGCTATCCTAAGCCGAAGCAGTGGGGTACCAACGCTTAGTGCGCTGCAGCTGCCCAGGGATGCGCACAACGAACAAGCGTCTGCCTTTCCCGCACGCCGCACCATTCATGCCTGGCTCCTGCACACGGAATCATCTTGGCTCCTTGACGCCCCAATTGCCCTTTGGGAGTTTAAGTTCTTCAGGTTCAACTCACGGACGATTGCAAAGGACCCTTGCCGGCTGATGTGGGACGTCTGGCAACACCACACACATAAGAACTGAGGTTTATTTCTGCGTTGGATAGAGAAACCCTTGCACCAACTAGTATCCCCCAAAGTACTCAAAAACAAAACCTAGGCAGCAGGCCAGCACCCAATCAACACACAATCCGAGGCTTCTATGATCCCTACCCATTCGCTCCCGGCCTGGGTAGCACCGCTGATCACGGAGAAGCTGTGCCTAAGCGCAAGATGCTGCAAAAGGCACAGCCACACCTGCAGGTGCTTCAACCGAGGGGATTCATGCCGAGAAGCTCTACCAAAGGCGCTATGTAAGCAGAATCCCCCGGCCGAAGAATTGCAACGCGGGAGTTGCCAGATCTAGCGGACCACCTGCAACTCAACTTGTCTCTGGAAGCTTTTGAAGGTTCCCCTTTTTTTCAGGGTGCTCCTGGCTACAGTAGCCTGACAAAATCTGTAAAGCGCACAGTCTGCAGAGATATTCTAAGGAAAAGCCGTCTGGTCAAGAAAGCCAGCACTGACCAGCACCTCGCACTGACTTGGCTGAGTAACTTCAACTTGTAGCACTCATTTGGTTTGGGTGTTTAGGGCGTCGAAGGAGGGCATTCTGGAATAGTGGAGCCGATCCCGCGGTTGTCGGGCATGGGGTGCGCCATCCTCTTTTTCATTATTGCCATCATGTGTCGATCGTTTGTCAGGCTTGCTTGCTGGTTGTGTGCTTCAGTCTGCCAATATTGAAGTTGCACAGATGAATGGGCTGCTCTCAAGGTCGCTCACATCAACAAAAGCATGTACAAAATGGTTCTGGGAAACTATTGCTATGTGTGGTGAGCCTCAACTCCACAGCCTCAGAGCCAAAGTGGTAGATGAAGGTGTGGAGGCCGCAGCTCAGACCTAGCAGCTTAGCTCAACAAAGGTCAAGGCTCCGACAGCAAACGCTTTGCAGCGTAGCGTCTTTCGCCGGGCATTGCGGAGTCCAGCACCTCCAAGTCGAAGGTCTTTAAATCAGGCTGGTGCCTGCAGTCTTCACAGACGTTTACAGGCCATCACATCTTGCCATGTCTTGCCCAGCTTGCGGCCTTGTCCGAGCACCTGGAGATAAAACATAGGTCTTCCTTTTTCGAGCACTCTCTCGGCTGTGCTCTGCAAAGGTCACCACCACCTACAAGGCATGCAAAGCATATACCCTACAAAGCACGCTTGCACGCTTGCAGGTTTGGCCTCCTCCTCATCCTCAAGAGGGCTGACGAGCAAATCTGATACTCGAACGTTCAACACGTCGGCGAGGATCTGGAGCTCAGAGTGGCTGCCCTTCCAGCAAGGACGGTCAGGATTTGCATGAGCTAGGTGGAAACTTGTCTGCTGAGTGATAGATGAGGCATGATGCATAGATGATTCAACAATGTCAAGTTGCGCATGTTTCGATAGCACACGTATGGAACGGTCTATCGGACTAAGTCTTCGTGCGGCACACTCAGTATGTGAACGGGAGTCGCTTCGGCAAGGCGAAGACTAAGGTATACTCAAAAGATGTGCAGACTGCAACAAAGAAACAATCAAATAGATGGAAAATGCCCATTTCCCAATGCAGCGCGCTTTAAGGAGATGCCATCTTCAAGCTGGCTTTTGAGCCCCACACATACACACAGGCACCTTTCTTGTAGAAAGGCCTTTCCTTGCTTTTGATGCTTCTGGTACAGGTAACTTTGCTGGAGTTCGCTCAAAGGTCCGTTGATTTGTTGCACCTTGCTTTGTTGGGAACGTCGCCTTGCCTGCAACAAGCACCTTGTTCATGCTGTCCGCTCTCATCCGACGGCATGATCACGCTGTCACATGCTAAGGATTAGATTAGATTTGCTTTTCACGCATTCACGCTGACGGCTAGACCTGGCAGAAACTGCCTTGGAAAGGGAGTGTCTGGGCACTGTTCGTCATTGCCCAAGAATTCCTGCTGAAGAGCCCCGATGACACCCCATGATGGCCTCCGCTCCCTGCAGAAGGTCCTGGACACGACCTGCTCGCTGATTCGTGCAGATACGATGCATAGTCTATGCTGCGGGCAGCCTTCATTCAGGCCCTTGGCTGCCAACAAGGCGACCAAATCCGCCGTAGTCAAGCACTCCGCAGCCAGGCACCGCCTTGGCCCATCAACGACCAGGTATCTCACATCATCTCAACACGCACTGCGCTTCCCCTTCCCTGCCATGGAACTTCAGGACACACTTCCGAGCTTCTTGTGGGTTGCCTGAGCTGCTTCAGAATGGCATACTTCACGGAATACCAGTTGCCGCACGACAAAGAAAAGCAACATCTTCTGCACTACAAGCGGCGAGAGTCGCCAGCCAGTGCTGCCACTTGCTTTGCCCCCACACGCGAAAGTTCTGTGAAGGCCCGGCGAACCGCTCCGCCATATGTCACCTGAGGATGCCAGAGGCTGGATATGTCTACGAAATCGTTGGCAAAAGGCTGTGCATTGCCAAGCTGTTGCACTAAACAAAGCATCTGTCACAACCTTCGCACTTTTTGCACCAGCATCGAAGAATCGAGCAGTGACAGCTGAGCAGCTACGAAAATTAATAAGATGGCGGTCCTGCCATGAACATGAGAGAATTCCTTGCGGCAAGCAGCCTTCAAAGTGGCCGATCCGCTCAATTTCGAAGCTCTAGACGGTCAGGAGACAGGTATTAGTGCAAGAAGAATTCAAAGGAATTCACTGCAGGCTTCCCGCAGACAAGTCTACATCGCAAGCCTCAGGTTCATACGGAGTTAATGATGGTGGTGAATGAGTCGCCCTTCAGGGAGGCACCGCCAACAAGGAAGCCATCAATGTTGGGCTGCTGTCCTTGGCCAGACATTGTGTGACCACTCCATGCAGCTCAGCAGGCACGTGGTTTGCGCTAGGACAAAGCCACGCTTCCAAGATCTGCAGCATTCTTGTCATTTACAGAGCCGCCGTACTGAATGCGGACAGACTCACTGACCTGCCGGTGACAAGCGCCAGCTGTCCGATGTGCATTCCACCTGAATTACGTTAAGCGACCTTGTCAGACACGTTGTCGGCCAGCCATTTTCGGATGTAGGCGTGGGTCTCCTCTGCCTGGCGGGGTTGAGAGACGTGGGCTGTGCTTGCGGTGTTCCAACCGTTGTCCAACCCGTCGAAACCCTGTTGGGAACCCGTTGAGCCTGCTCAGGAGTGGCCACCTTGCCAGTCCCAATGGCCCAGACAGGCTCATAGGCCAGGACTACCTTCTCCCAGTCCTCCTGCAAGCGTGCGACAGCATGCAATGCCAGCCATGCCAGGACGAAAGCACAAAAGTCTCTTCCTCCGAGAGCACGTCTGCCAAAGGCTTCAGCTGCTCATCCAGCACTTCGAAGGTCTTTCCACCCTGCACACAAGCTTGCAACTGTGAAGCAAACTCCACTTGAAGCTACTTATCGCCCAAGTGCCAAACTTCACTGCAAGTCGTCTAGCAATGTCTCTGGCAGATCTGAACCTTCAAGCAGTTTCTGTTCCCTGGAACGGGCACGGTGTTCCCCATTGTCTGAGCCAGATCCTCACCCATAGGATACACAGGATGTAGGAGTCTTAGGCCATCCCATGTTAGACTTCATTCGAAAACCCGAATACTTTGGCGGAACTGGGATGTTCTCAGCGTTGTGCAAGCTAACGAAATGTTCCATTCCTCATTGATTGGCTTCTAGATTCAAGACACTACATGGAGCCACTAGTACCAGTGAATGTGAAGTAGCTGACAAACGAAAATCAAAAGGCGTTGGTGGTCTCTTGGCGTCTGCAAAGGCGTAATCCAGCGAATGATCAATGAGGACGCGCGGGAACAGCTGTCCAGCACCCCAACCGCTGCAGCATCGGATGGTTGGCCTAAACCCCTGATCCCACGTCTTGCTTCACAGCTTGCTCGGCACTAGGCTTTGTGATTGGGACCAGGAAGGCATTGAAGCCTTTGGGAGAAAGACGTTTGATGCAACTAGCCGAGCTGTTACATTCCTTCCCTAAGGGCCAGTATCATTAGTAGACAAATGCATGGGGTTGGCCGTTTGGAATTTCCCGACCGCTTCGGACATGCAGGACCAGCCTCGCGAGCATCGAGCTTCTCGCCTCAGCAGGGCTTGACAAATACTTTTCCAGTCGCAGCAGTCTGACAGTCATCTTTTTTTCGCAGCCGAGGGGCCGATGCAGGTCAAGGTGCTAAAGCCATTGTCGACTGCGAACTTGGTCTTCTCTGCTACCTGGCCAGGAATCTTTTTGCTTCCCTATCGGAAAGCAAAGCCACTTGGTGCCGGGCGATCTGGCTCGTCTCGCCACAGTTCTCCCTGCGCTCGCTGTGACCAAGCACCACCCACTTGATGCCCATGTCGGCAAGCATCTGGGCAGGAATCTCACCTGCAGATCGTGCAGAATCGACATGAATCGACTGCACGGAGCCAGCAAGTGTGGCATGCTGCCTGTCCATGCGCCAGGATCCTTGTCCCAAAGATTCTGCGCTGCCACGCTGAAGTCCTTGCGCAGGCTGCCCTGCACCTGGCAATCTGAAGTGATCGCTTCCATCCAGACAAGCTTCAAGAGCCCACGAGCTAGCAAAAGCCAAGCCTCTGAAAGGAAAACGAAAGGTGGAGCGCACACGACCTCCACGTCCTGCCAAAATGTCTGGATGAGGATTTCTATTATGTGCGGAAACCAAGCATGGCTTTGAGTCCTTGGACGTGATGTCGCCGTCGTTCAGGTCTTGGACCAGCTTCTTCACGCTGTCAGGGCTTCCATTGGCCTTCCAGTTACCACCTTGGCAGCACAAGCAACCTCCGGAATCCTCCAGAAACTGCCAGCTGGCAGCCAGCAGTCTGAGGTCCTGAGATGTCCTGAGGTCGGCACCAACAATGAACTTCCTGCCCGCCTCCATGGCAAGTCGGTCTGCCCTAGCTGGGCGCTTCGTGGGGCCCACGAAGGCGCTCCAAAGGCCGCAAGCCGCCAAAGCGACTGCCAGCAGTGCTGCACCTTCAGCTGCAATGCAAGATGCTGCAACCTTCCACACCTTCAACACTTGAATCTCTGGTGCCTGGCCGACGCGTCATTGCAAAGGCACTAGGGGTGACCAGAGCACAAGGAGTTTTGAGCAAAACTCGCGGTTGCCAACATGGAAGCGAAATGATCCCAAGAGCAGCCAAACTACATGTGCACTGCTGTTGCGACAACCCCTCCTTGCACTCTACGTCTGAAAGTCCTACATGATATGAAATTCCGCCGTTTTTGCTAGGTGCACGTCCAACAAAACACCTGTTAGCCAAGGGGCTGCTATGATGATAGCTTCAGGGCTTCCCGCCCGTGCCGTGAAAGAGTGTGGGACGAACGGCGAGATGTAGTTGCCTGGAAAAAGCCGTAAGGAGAAATGATGCACATACCATACCAAACTCTCTGCAAGCAGGCAGCTATCTCCTGTGTTCATCTCCTTCCGGTGGACTTTGCCATGTCCTAAACCCATATGCAAATTCAAAAACTGGCCATCCAGCTTCTCGTTTGTCAAGCCACTGTCACGGTAGTAGAAATCCACAGGGCCGATAAACAAGGTGGTCTGCATCATGAGATGCCTGATTCGCACATGTCAAACCGCTGCAGCTGCTGTCCGCAAACTCAGTTTTGGGTTCAGATTAACAAAATTTGCTTCAACACACTTTTGCAAACTGATCTGATGAAAGTACACGTTTGGATGTCCACTCAAAAATTTTCATAAAAACCTCACCGCATTCACTGATTGCCATGTTCCGTGCTTCAGCTATCTAAGTTATCAACACATGAAAGCTCATTCCAAAGGCAGGATGTTGGAACGTGGGATGTGTATTGCAAAACATGTTTGCCTTAATCTTGCCAGCTAAGGGGCCTGGCATTTTCTAATCTGGTCAGCTCAAGGGGCCTGACCTGCTGCAGGCACGCCAGATTGATCTTGCATGTTAGAGATAGTGTAGAATTCTGCATATGAAGTCCGCTTGGCCAAGATTTCCGTCTCAAGCTTTTTTTGTGAGAGGGACTTTGTCACAAGCCATGGCCGTCGCTGTGCGCCTAGGACTGCTAGCTTTCCTGGTGGTAGGGTGGGGTTGGTGGACAGGTGGGCGCACCGCCCTTTTGGGTAGGGATACGTTCGCTAATGCTACAAACGCTACTATAATCTCACCCCAGAGGGCGCACCGCCCCCTTCGTTTTTCTCTTTCGGTGGTGGACAAAAGGGAGTACCTCCTCCCCCACGGTTACCAGGGTCTCCGAGTGGATCCAGACCAGCTAATTCTGGTAAGGAGCTTTGTTGGGGATGGAGTGTTTCGTTCTTGATCGAGTAGGCTGGGGGAAGGGTGTTCTCCACTCGCCCTCAAGCAGGACGAGCTGCCACCGGTGGTGGCTGGGCCAGCTACCTTATCGATAAGTCTGGGTTGTGGATGTTTGGTGACTTCTGGCCGCTCGTGGCCAGGGGTACGCTCGCGCTTGCTGCCCTGGTGGGACTTGCCTGGTCCCTCCGAACCTTGCGCCAAGTCCTTTGTTGTTGCTGCCTGCGCCGAGCAGGTGGGTCGAACGAAGGAGTGGGCGCTCCGCCCGGAGCAAATGCACCTCGCGTGGCCGTGGACCTCCCCTCACTCGAGGTGGTGAAGGGTTTTGTGGCATTGGAGCTAACTGGCCCTGATGCCCCCCCCGCGCCGTGGACACAGAGTACGACCAGCGGAAGATTCGCGGTCGCGGAGTGGGGCGTAAACCTCACGATGTGGTGGTCAAGTTTGCACAGGGAGCCGCTTGGTTGCAGCCCTCCGGGGAAGGTGGTTATAGAATCGACCGCACCGGCTTACTAGTCCAGTATAGGCGTTTGCAAGAAGAGCTAGAACGTCAAGGATGTGTCCACCTTTGCCGACATAGCGAGTGCACCCACCTGGCAGCCCCTCGTTGATCTCGGGGCTTATGGCCGGTTTAGCATGTGGCGGGCAAGTGTGCTGGCGGCGCGCACCAGCAACTACCTGCTTCGGGGCCTAGTTCGCGGTGGGCGATGGCTCTGGTCCGGCCACCCTCTTGCTCGCCGTCCTGTTGGGATAGATCAGCAGCCACGTCAAATTCAAGAACAAGGGGTACTGAGGTCGCTTGACCCCGACTCTGAGTCTGAAGCCGAAGTGATTGAGGATCCTTGCCAAGCTGTACAGGTAGGGCTCGAATTGCAAGGTGTGGTCAAGGTTCTTGCTGTCGAAGATTGCGGAGACAGGGCGGCCGCGGAACCCACTCGTCTTTTGGAGAAGGATAGGGAATTGTCTGACCTAGGGGGCTCGCAAACTGCACGTCTCTGTAGTCATCACAGTCAAATGTTTCTCATGTCATGTCAGGGCCGGGAATGCAGTGTGCTTTCCTGCTACGGTGCGGCGCATGGAGCACAACGGGGCGCACTTCTTAGACGGCTGAAGCCTTAGCCCATCTAGCACGGGACCCCGGACCCTAGGAACCCTAGCAGGACTCCCGGAACTTGCCTCCCTCGAGGCCAAGGCCCGTCTGGTTCGATTCAATCACGCCAAGCGCACGCTGAACCTCATCAAATGGCCGGTCCTCGTAACCGATCGCCTTGCTCTTGCAATTGAGGGGTTGTGGCGCGGGGGAGAGGAGTAATACACGCTGCTAGCCTCAGACTGCGCCACCGCGAAAGCTGAACAAGTTGAGGCCAGGTCCCATCCAACCGAGCATAAAATTGAAGCCCGCGCCAAACCCCCAGCAGCGTTCCTGACGTGGCTGCGCTACGCCATGCCGAAAATGCTGTGAAGGTATTTGGCTCAGCTTACGGCGTACGGGCTTGAACATGTTCCCGAACGGATGGCATTCCTTGCGGCGCTGAGGGAAGCCAATGAGGAAGACGAAAATGCGTTCCCCCTTGCGCACTGCATCAAGCTGTACGAGGAGCTCAATGCTTTTTGGCGCGAAGAGATTCGGGAAAATCCCGCCTGGAAGACCTGAAGCTGCTCACCCTGTCACTCACCCGGCCCCGATCCTGATGGGAACCCAAACTTCCAATTCCCTCGTGCGTGGGACCTGCAGGACTGCCAGGACACTGCCAGCAAGTTATTCTTCCCAGGCATGACACGCCTATGGCACAAGCAATTGCACAAGCAAGCTCAGAGTACATCCACCACGCAGGTCCTGCGAAGGGGGGAGCTTAAGGGCGAGAGAAAGGTTGATTCTAAGGAAGTGGACGGCCGCATTGCCCAGCTGCGTGCCCAGGTCAAAGACGACCAAGCAAGCAAGCAGAACAACGGCAAGCCTGACAAACCCAAGGCGAAAGCCAAACTGAAAGCCGCAGGCAAAGCCAAAGCCGAATGGCAGCTTCCGGAGAATTTCAGCAGACCTCTTACTGCCGTGGAAAAGGAACTGGGAGACGTGGGGCCCGGCCCCGATCTGGCGCGAATTCGGCCCGGGCAAGTGGAGGACACCGCCTCTGTGGATGACCCTCAAGCGTCGCCACGCTTGAACGTGCACCAATATCCACTTGCACTCTCATGTCGCGGCATACACAAGAGGAGCCATTGTCCATCCGGGACATCCTGACCAATGCCGTCGACCAGGGGCACCCCAGGAAGCTCCGGCCTGTTTTGACCGCAACTGCTACAAAATCGGCAGCAATCGGAGGTTGCAGTCCCTGAAGCTACCATCATCCCGAGCAAGGGTTCTTCTGGGGACCTTATCGCCAAAGGGACGTTGCATATTGCCTTTGCTCTGATCCCCAAAACCCTTTCTCTGCCTTTCGAGGATCATCATGACCAGCTGGCAGTGGCGGTGGGCGCACCGCCCCTTTTCCCACAGCAGCCCTCAGGAGACTTGGCAGCGCCTGTGCCTGTATGTGGGAACTCAAGATCCGAGCATCTGCCGCACATGGTCACTTGGGGGCGCCGCCCCGATGTTTAGCGAAGCTGAAGCTTTTGCACGGCACAACACCCAGGATTGTCTGGCACCTCTATGCTCTGACCCGGTAGAGCTCTATGATGACCCCTTGCCTGCAGAGCCCTCGACCTGAGCACGACGTCACCGACCCCGCCATCGCCGATCGGCTTCGGGCACTGGCAAAGGCCACGGTCCCCAACATCTGGCGGTTTGGATCGCCCTGTACCACTTAATTGCGACTTGCAGCTGCTTACTGGTTATTGGCATTGGTCTCCCTTGGCCTCTACTCATGGGCACGTCTGTTCCTTGCGCACAAGTGCCCGGCGCCAGCGATCCATGCGCACGCGGGCGCCGCATACATGAGAGCGCTGCGTGCTGCCTGGGATTGATGCCTTTTGGCTGGGCAGGAGCACCGGGGGAGGTCGTGGCATGGTGCGCCGTTGCTAAAGCGGAGCCTGGGGTTGGAAATCGGTTCCTTCTGCAGGCTCTCCATCACCATCATCCATGGGCTGCGCAGCATCATCAGGTTCATTACGATCAGCATCAGCATCGGGCACAACATCTGGTTCCCAGCGTTGACCGGGCCTCCATCAGCTTGTTCCCCAGCGTTGACTGGGCCTCCGTCACCTGGTTCCCCAGCGTTGACCGGGCGTGTTCCACTCCCTTGCTTGTCTTGCTTTGATAGGCATATGAGGCGCAGAAGGGGTCAACGTCGCCAAGATGGCCGAAGAAGGGGAGCGGGCCGGCACTCAGGCCTGCGGAGCCTCATGAATTTCGACCAGCAGCTAATAAAATTAGCCTCCCAGAACCAAGCGCACGAAAGCTAAATATCTACTGGCCGAACCGACCTTACAATGTGGTCGGCGGAACGCGCTACTGAGGCTTTTGAAGGAAGTTGCCGGTTGCGCGCAACACTGGTCGATAGTCTGCCCCACACTCCTCCCCAGACTTTTCCAGCTCTCTACCGACCTATGCGAGGGCAACGCGCGCGTTCCGCCTGGACCACAGACGCAGGACCAAGCTTGGGAGGAACATCCGGCTACAACTTGAGCGACCCCAGACTCCGAGCGTCTTTCAACAAGCTGCTTCCTCTGCGAAAAACGTTGGCTCTCCGAGGCGTGGCTGATCGGCTGAGGCTGCTTGGCGGGGACGCCACCTTGGATGGGTTTGGGAGCTTGGACTGGAAGTCCAGAAGATGTGCGGTCGAGGATGCCTCACCATACTTGGCCCAACTTTAAAAAACCAGCTCCCTAACCTTGAGCACGGTGAGATTATTTCCATCGCTGAAACGACAGCATTCGTGGCGTTTGCTGGTCGAGAAGCGCCCGGGAGCGGCGACTTGGTCCTGCATGTGACTAATCTCTTCCTCATATTAATAAACCCCCCCCTAATAAT